CCACAGGATGAACGAGGAGCAGATCGCCACGGTGTGTCTGTCGGTGTTGAGGGCTTTGTCGTACCTGCACACACAAGGCGTCATCCACCGCGACATCAAGAGCGACTCCATCCTGCTGACCAGCGACGGCAGGGTGAGTGATGAGCCCGAGCCCATTTATGCTGCAGGTATTAATAACCAACGCTGCCCACCTTCACCCCGGCGCCGGTCGTTTCTGCGCTCCTGGCTGACCTTCTCCGGTCCTGCAGCTTGTCAACAGCCAGAAACTCATCATCCTCAATTACCACTCGCGCCCCAGTAATTAAATCCTGCCTAATGCCTCCTAACGAGCTGATAAGACATGATTCATTGAGGCGTAATTAACAGCTAATACTGCAGATTAGTGTCTTCAGTGAAAGCTCTTCATCACGAGGGGTCAGCTCTCTTTCGAACTCTTTTTTTTTAATACTGCCACCTACGTGGAACCTGAAGGCAACACGGTGTGTTTGTGTGTGTCTTTGCAGATCAAGCTTTCAGACTTTGGCTTTTGTGCCCAAGTTTCCAAAGAGGTGCCCAAGAGGAAGTCTCTGGTTGGGACGCCCTACTGGATGGCACCGGAGGTCATCTCCAGACTACCGTACGGCACCGAGGTGAGGACGGCACACAGTGGCATCGCTCGACGGTGACAGCAGTGTCATGATTTAGCTCACTAGTTAATCGCTAAAAAAAAAAAAAAACACGCCAAAGCTGTCAGTAATGTCCACATCAAGAATCTGTGTTTTTAGAAATGGTAACATTTGACAATAAAATTACACAATTTTCTTTGCATTAGAATTAACTAAAATATCATTTAACAGATATTTGACAAAAAATATATATTAAAGATCAGAAAATGGGAAATTATTTTCTAACTACTAAAAATATTTTTTATATTATTTTTTATATAGTATTTTGTTTTTAGATTATTTTACTTTGTTTCATTTTTTTTTACTAGTTAACTGTAAAAAAAAAAAAACAACAAAAACAAAAAAAGGACAAATGTCATAATGTCCTCATCAAAAATCAGTATTTTTACAAATAGCCAATTATTATTATTTTAAATCTGACAATAAAATTAAACTATTTTCACTGCATTAAAATCAGCAAAAAATATTATTTTACAGATATTTGATTTTAAAAAAATCAGTATATTAAAGATTAGAAAATGGGAAATAGTTTTAAATCCACTAAAAGACATGATTATTTTAATTATTTTACATATATTTGTTGTTATTTTAATCATTTTTTGAACTTCTCTGTTNATGTACAACAGTTACCTGGTGGGAGACGAGCTGTGGGTCGTCATGGAGTTCCTGGAGGGCGGAGCGCTCACCGACATCGTGACTCACACCAGGTGATCCTCTCCCGAATACAGGAAGATAACAAATGACAGCTGAAATGTAAAATAATGAACAAGGTTAGATGATGCAGGAGCAGTTTCAGAGTTTCTAAACAGGAGTACAAGAAAGCTGAAAGGTGCGTTTTTATTACAGGATGATGATTTTGTTGACTTCCTCGAGTAAGAACAAACAAAAGAGGCAGCATGTAATAACCTCAGGATGACGGTTTGAACATATTTAGTAAAGTTGTGCGTCACTATACACTAGGATTGACAAAAAACATGATATTTACTGTAAATATTCCAGTACCACTAACTATCTATTCAGCGCTTCAACAAAGGAACAACATACAGCTAAACAGCATTATTAGTTTTGTTTGAGACGCCACGATGTTGTGAACTTTATATAAATTATTATACTTATATCTGACAGCATGTTGTTAAAAAAAAAAACTCGTTAAAGACGGTGAAAATCTGGCAACCTTAAAACTCCTTAAACCACAACAGAAAAGTAAAAAACTTTAAAAGAATTGGTGAAAATAACACCAAATACCTGTAAGATCTATTTTTTTAACAGATTTATATACAGTAAAAGAACAAATTACTATTTGTGCAAATACATTATGGACAGTTTTTAGACTTTACTAGATGTTATCTGTAATTTAACAAAACAGGAAAAATCTGTGAAATAACAGCTTCAATAATTATTTAACATTTTTCAGATCTTAATATACTTTTTTTTTTTTTGAAATAACTGCAAATATCTGTACAATAATTATATTTTGCTGATAAAAATAGTATAATTTTGACATCAAATGTTTTAAAAGAATGAATTTATTTTAAAAAATACAGATTTTTGATTTGTTTATTATTTTTATTCACAATTTTTATTCATTGACTAGTAAATGACAACTTTTTTCTGGGATTTTACTAATTATCTGTAATTTTAAAAATGTAAAATGACGATAAATTGTTCAGGATATTATAGTTAAAAGCTTTTGTTCCAGTAACTTATATAAAAACACGAGATTTTGAGATGCAGATTTTCAGTTTCTGCCTGCTCCTCCTGGATGTTTTTACCAAACGGACGTGAAAGTGATCTGAATCCTCTCATCCAACTCTCTGCATGAAAACAAA